AGGCGGGGGCGGCCACCCCTGAAGGGAACCAGCTGGCTATCCCGCAGTTGGTGAGGGGACCCAGGGCCTGCGGGTGGGTGGCAGTGGCCTGGGCAGGGCCTGCTGAGCGGGCGGGGCTGCTTAGGCGGGGGTGGAGGGGGCGAGGAGGAGGGCCCCGGCCGCCAGGGACGGGACAGACGCCAGGGGCTCAGTGTTAGGCAAGAATGGTCAGTTGGGGTCCCCAAACTCCTGGGACTGAGACCCAGCGGCTTTTCCCCCAAATGGAATCCCCAAAAAAACCCTCGACACCGAATGAGACCCTGGCGTGGAACCTCCATCCTGGGCAGCTCAGGACACGTCCCCGCAGGCGCTGGCCCGACAGGGTCCCCGAGAGAGGGGCGGGACGCGGCGAAAGGGGACGTGGCAAGTGAGTACCGGCGGCTGAGGGGAACGAGAGGCGGGGTAGGCGGCCTGGGGGTGGCGCCAGGAGGGAGGGGGACTTGCAGGGGTCCCACCAAGAGCTGGAAGGGGCCAGCAGAGGGACACCCTTAGGGGACGTGGGGTAAAGCGCGCGGTGGGCGGGGGCTGCAATTCCCCCCTCGGCTTTCCGAAAGGAACCGGGCGCAGGGCCCAAGTCTGGAATGGTCCTGGGTGTGTGGGGGGGGGTTGGGGGGAGACAGTGTTCTGAGGCCGGAAGACCCGACGGGACGGCTTTCAGGCTGTGCGGAGATGAGGAGCTGAGCCAGGGATGTTGGCGAGGGCGCCTTTGGGCTGGGGGAACCGGGATCCAGGGGCGGGAGGCACTGGGGCGGAGCGGACTGGGGGAAGGGACCTGGGGAGGAAGAGCTGGGAGTGTCGAGAGGAGGGGCGGGAGGCACCCGGCCAGGCGAGGCCGGGGGTCCTGGCCCTCCCCGTTCTCTATCTAGGCCTTGAGCCCAGAGTGACAGTGGCGCGCCAGGCCAGCGGGGTCAGCGCCAAGTGTCTGGCGAGCAGCCGCGAGACTCCGGGGGGAGCATTTCGGGTGATTCTTGGAAAGTGCGCGCCGCTGGGCCCAGCGTGGGCAGCGCCCCCTCTTCGTGGCTAAATATTGGTCCCAGCAAACCGACCCTTCCCGCCCTGTGCCCTCCTCTCCCCAGGTCCTGAGACCCTGCCGGGGTCCTAGCCTAAAACAGAAGCCTCACCCCACTCCCTGCTTAACCAGGACCCCACGGCCCACAGCGAGAACTGGGTCCTGCTTTGTCCAAGTCTGTCTCCATGGCCCGCCCAGGAGAAAAGATTAGGGGGAGGGGCGCAGCCAGGGACCGCGGGAAGACCCCCATCCTTTCTCGGACCCGGGCCAGGGTCGTGGCAGGCGGCCTGTGCACAGGACTGAAGAATATTTCTGGCCCAGAGGCCGAGGTCTAGGCAGGAGTCTGGACCCCAGAGCGCAGAGCGCAGGGAAGGGCAGGGCGCGCGGGTTGGGAGGGGCGTCTGGCCAAAGAGTAGGGCCCGGAGGGAGCAGGGGCTGATCAGGACAGCCCGGGGTGCGGGACCCCGGGTGGGACAGCGCCGCGGCTCATCCGTCACCCGGGCGAGAGGACCCGAGAGCCACCCGGCCCCGCCCCAGCCAGACACCAGGCGGCAAAGTCCGTGAAACTTTTTATAAAACACGGGGGGAGAGGGTGGCTCGCGAGGGCGATGGTGGGATGTGGCTCCGCAGCGACAGGGGCGCGGCTACACGAAGATCTGGATGCGGTCGCGGACCGGCTGGCGGCAGATGGGGCAGGCGCTGAGCGCGGCGCCGCAGGGCGCGCAAGCGCCGTGGCCGCACTGGAACACGAGGCGGATGTGGCTGTCGATGCAGATGGGGCAAGTGATGCGCTCCTCCATCTGCCTGTAGCGGTTCTGCAGCTCCTCCACCAGCTGCCGCGGCGGGCCGGGTGCGGGGGCCGCGCTTGCCACCTCGGTGCCATCTGCAAGCGGGCGGGGGCGGGATCAGGGTTGGGCAGGTGTGGGGCCGGTGCCGAGCCCGCCCCTCCTGCCCAACCCACCTGAGCGCAGCTTCTTGCCGATGACCACCTGGCACCTGATGCATTTCTTCATCCTGCGCGCGCACTCTGTTGGGGGGAGCGCGCGGTTGGACGGGTTTGAGCCGAACCCCCGGAGCCCCCCGGCGTCCCCGCACTCACCCTCGCACACCGTGCGGTGCTGGCACGGCGAAAACAGCACCAGCAGCGCCAGCTCCGAGCACACCAGGCACTCGGCGGCCTCAGGCCCCGACGGAGCGGCCACGTGCAGGTTTGTCACCGTGTTGGGAGTGCTGAGCACCAGCCTGGGGCCTGGGGCCGCGGCCCCGCCCCCACCTGCCTGCCGCTCCCTGCAGTCAGAGCAGAGGGATTGAAAGGGCCCGGGGCCGCGGGCCCGCCCCCCACCCCACCGGGCTCACCGGAAGCGCTGGGCACAGCCCTGCAGGGCCTTTAGCACACGGCCCTCCGCAGCCAGGTCCAGCGGGCTCCGGCCGCGGTGGTTGGCGTAGCTCACGTCGGCACCCTCCAGCGCCAGGTAGCAGGCGACCGCTACGCCCACCGTCAGCTCCGCGCTGACCGGGAGGCCTGAGGCCTGTAGCTGGGCAGCAGAGACTCCGGTGAGGGCGGAACGCTGGCTTGAGGGAGCCTCTGCGGGCACGCGCTGCCCCGGGTTAGGGGCAGCTCGGGGGAAGGGGTCTCCGGGGGGAAGGGCCAGGTACTGACACCCCATAGCCACCCCCACCCCCTTTCCCAGGCTGGGCAGGAACACAGGATCTCAGGGGAGTTGGCCATGCAGTGATGACTGCAAACATCAGTCCCCCAGGCTGCCCCACCCCCAAGAGGGCCTGGCTCCCTGCTGTCACCCAGGGTGGAGGTGGACAGTCCCTCAGGTCCTGCCCGGAGCCTGCAGCCAGGTGCCGCCTCTCCAGCACCCAGAGCCACACTTCCTCACCCTGGCCAGCAGCTGCAAGGGCCCTGGGTCGCCCCCAGCCCCGTCAGCCGCCAGGGGCAGTAGCTGATGACGCTGCAGCGCCACGTGCAGGGCTGTGTCCCCGTCCTCATCCTCAGCATTGACACTGCAGCCAGCGTCCACCAGCAGCAGCACCAGCCCCACGTGGGCCTGCTGTACCGCCAAGTGGAGCGGGGACTGGAGCTTACGGTTTCGAACATTCACATCACAGCGACCCTGGGGAGGGGTCAGCACAGGCTCAGCCCAGGGACCCGGATGCACAGACTCCCACCCACCCCTGGGCTGGCCAGGGACCATGTCCACACCTCCCGGATGAGGATCTGGGCCACGTCCCAGTGGTTGTTGAGGGCAGCCAGGTGCAATGCTGTGAAGCCGTCCTCCTTCTTGGCGTCCACCAGCTGCCGTGCCCGAGCTAGAATCCGCCTGACAGCTCTGTGGGAGCAGAGGGGTGTGTCCAGGTTGAGGGGGGAGGCAACCCCAAAGTGGCCCAGCAGGTGGCCGGAGCCTGGCAGAGGGCTGTGTGCCCACCCCACACTCACAGTGTGTGGCCCTTGAGAGCTGCAAGGTGCAACAGGGTGAAGCCCTGACTGTTGGTGGCAGTGACATCAATGGCCGGCACCTCGGTGAGGACCTCCACAATGCCACTGGCACCGGCGCCGGCGGAGATGGCACAGTGCAGGGGTGTGTTGCCATGGGCATCCTGTAGGTGGTGGGCAGTGTCACTTGGTAGCAGGTCATTGCCACTGTCTCCTGGGCCTCGGGTAGGGCCAGGGGACCCCGCACTCACTGGCAGGTTGACGTCACAGCCGCGCTCACACAGGACCCTTGCCACCTCCAGGAAGCCCCTCTGCACAGCCACGTGCAAGGCTGCACTCCGGCTGCCGTTGAGGATGTCGGCCCGGCACCCAGCGCCCAGGAGCAGCCGGGCAGCCTCAGGCTGGTTCCTGGAGAGGAAGCCAGGGCACTGTGCTCACTCGCCAGACTACATGCCCAGCCCCCCACACCCCACCCAGGCCTCACCCCAGGGCAGCATAGTGCAAAGCCGAGTTGCCCTCGTCGTCAGGCAGGTCCACGCTGGCCCGAGCCTGCAGCAGCAGTCGTACCAGCTCCACCTGGCCCAGGTAGGCAGCCACCTGCAGGGCGGTTCTGCCCTGGTTCTTGGTGTCTACCTGCCAGGAGAGCCAGCAGGTCAGTCCCCAGGCTGCCACCCCCTCGCAGGGGATGGCCGGATGTGGGGGGTGGGGCCTCAGGGACCTGCCTGCTCAGGGTGCCTGCACAGCACATCCAGAGCCCGGGCCACATGGCCCAGGGCCACCTCCGCCACCAGCCTCCCTGGGTGTTCTGGGTCACTCTTCTGGGCTCGAAGCTTGTCCAGAGCGACGCTCAGGGAGCCTGGGGTGGGGGTGAGGGGGCTGAAGTTAAGTGTGTGTGGGGGCAGCCTGGCCTCCCGCCAGCCGCCGCTGCCGGGTACCCGCACTTTTGTTCTCCCTGGCACGCTCAGCCACGTCCAGGTTGCTGTCTTCCTCGGGCCGGTAGGCCACCAGGCAGGAGGGGCTGAAGGTCCACAGCTGACCACCGACTGCCACACACAGATTCCCGTCTCCGAAAAGCTTCACCACTTTCCCGACACGGCCCAGGGCCTGAGTGGGGAGAGGGTGCGGTCAAAGGTAGGTCTCCCAGGGGTGTGAGGGAGGTGGGGTGGCGGGGGGACTCACAGGGGCCATGTCATCTGTCCACTCGCCGTGCCCAGCCTGCAGCCGCTTCACTGCGTCAAGGTCATCGATGACCCGCACCACATCGCCCACCCAGAAGGAGTTGTGCTGAGTGAGAGAGAGGCCCGTGAGGGCCCCCAGGCAGGTGTGGCTGCCCAGAGTCCTGGAGCCAGAGGGCGCC